CAATATGGTTCATGGGGTCACGAAGAGTCGGACACGACTTAACGACTAAACAACAAAAGCTGTCTTCTCAATTCTGCCTTTATATGAATTTGTTCTTAAGGCTTGATGTTCTGCAGCCAGAATTAGCCCCTCTGTATCTTTCTTCAACTTTCCTGCTCTTAGCCTTTGCCAGGCCTTGTTGTTATCTGCTTTGCATGCTAAGTTTTATGTTTGTGTGTATGTGTGTGTGCGCGTGTGTGTGTGTACTGCCCATGTAATACTTTGCCTTGCCATGTCTCTTTTCTATTCTTCATTTGGTCTTTCTTATAGGACAGTTTGGTCTAACCTCTATATAACCCTCTATCCAAACCTGTTGAACATTTGCAGCTCTTCAAATTCTACTTCTGTGAACACTTTATTTTGTATTATAAATTGACATTGATCTGCTAGCCTCTGTTTTGTTATTTCTGATTCTGGATGTTGCTGTTTACAGATGATACATTCTTTTCAGATATCCTCTTCTCAATGTAATTGATTTATAATAGCTGATCATTATTTCTTTGTTTACAGTCTTCATATTTTTGTGATGGGTAAACAACTTTTCTTCCAGTAGTCCTGCAGCTGCTGATCCTGGTTGCTCAGTCAAAAATCCTGATTACTGTAGGCCACTTGTCACCAGATCTCCAGGAACTCCAATAGCTAGCACTGTGCTTGCTGACCAGGGCAATGACCAATCCGGTATGGGTTTCTGTAAATCATGTCTCACCATATTGTTTGTAGGAAAGACATTGTCTGGCTTCTCTAATGAGACCTGTCCAGTATGGTTGAAACCCTAGCATAACTCTCAACTATCTCAAAGCATGCAAGCCCCACAACCACATCAAGGTAGTGCCTCACTGGAGGTTATTGTTGTTGTTATTGTTTTAACATTGAGGTTTATTTTGTCATACACTAATTAATAAAATATTTGGGGAGGGGAAAGCAGAAGTAAAATATACAACAATTCTAGTATATACTGTAACTTGCACTTAGATCTACTTTTACGCATAAAAAGGTCACTTTTCAGAGATGAATAATGAATATTGACATCTTACCTTATATCAGCACCAGTCAACATCTAAGACTTTTCATGCTACTGCTAGTACTACTATTATTAACAAATGACAAATGAATATCTAAGGCTATTCATCTGTGCATGAAAACAGAAATAACTAAAACTAGACAATTGGGAAGGAATATGAAAAATCTTATCTTTTTAAAATAAAAATCTCCTTACTCCTGATAATAAAGCAAGTCATGAGAAGGAAGACTTTGAAAAGTCAGTTGGTCTGCAAGAATGAAGATCTGATAAATAATAGCAACAATGATGAGGTCTCCAGATTTTGTGAAGAATTGAAAGAGGACCACTGATGTTAGATTTTAAAATAGGAAGCACACACATTGCCTTAGGAAGAAAGACTAAAGCCAGGAGGAGGCTATGAGTTCTACTTCCACCTTTAGCACAAAGCCAGCTGGATGACTGTGGGCCAGTCTCTCTCCCAGCCCTAGGAAGAAGGCAATGGCAAGCCACTTCTGAAAAACCTTGCCAAGAAAACTACAACACCGAATTGAAGGTGTGCACATACAAACACACACATACACACACACAAAGGCATTCAATAATTTCAATATGTAATCAGTGTTAGGGCAGCAGATAATCATTATTCCCCATGCTGATGGCTTACAGTGGTGCTTAAAAGTGTGTGAACCATTTTGAATTTTCAATATTCCTGCATAAATATGACCCAAACGTGACCACTTCTCCATACAAGTCATAAAATTAGATAAAGAGAACCAGTTCAACACATGAGCCAAAAACATTATACGTTGTTATTGATTTAAGGAGAGACAAACAGGATTTGAAGAAAGGATTTAAGGAAGACAATGGATTTAAGGAAAGACAAACACTGCTAAAGACCGACGTGCTGAAAATAATGTATTTGGCTTCATTCAAACTTCCGGGTAAACTTTCAGTTTTATTTCTTTAGTAGTTGCTCCTTTTTATTCAAATCAGGCCTTATAATAATGATGTAGCATTTGGGGGAAAAGATGCAGCCCAGTGCTGCTGAAGCCAAAATGGAGAAGATCTCCACCGCCACCATGTATTTCCCCTTGGTGCTCAGATAAGTTGGAACAAAAGACATCCAAACACTGCAAAAGACCAACATGCTGAAGGTGATAAATTTGGCTTCATTGAAGCTGTCAGGTAAATTCCTAGCAAGGAAAGCCACTGTGAAACTGGTAGTCGTCAAGAAACCCATAAATCCAAGGACAGTATAAAACATAGTGGTTGAACCTTCATTACATTCCATGACAATGTCTTCAGCCATTGAATGGATGTCAGAGTCCGGGAATGGTGGAGAAATTGCTAGCCACACAACACAAATTGTGACCTGAACCAGGCAGCAAGAAACAACAATGGAGTTGGCCAGCCCTTTCCCCACCCATTTCCTCATTTTGGAGCCTGGCTTGTGGGCCATGAAAGCAAGAACAACTATAGTCGTTTTCCCCAGTACGCATGAAATGGCTACAGAGAAGATGATGCCAAAAGCAGTTTGTCGCATGAGACATTTCACTTGGTCAGGTTGCCCAATGAAGAGCAAACTGCAAAGGAAGGAGAGGAGGAGAGCAATGAGAAGGGTATATGTGAGATTCCTATTGTTGGCTTTGACTATGGGGGTGTCTCGCTGTTTAATGAAGATCCCCAGTACCAAAGTTGTGATGAAAGAAAAGGAGACTGCAATTATTACCAAGGAAATGCCCAAAGGATCTTGGAAAGACAAGTAAACTATATTTTTTTGAAGATGACTACCCTGATCCTTGCTTGGATATTGGTCCTCTGGACATGAGAAACAATCTTCTGAATCTAAAAACAAAATGAAACAAAACCTGTTCATAGAAACACTATTAATTTTAAGAATAAAGACTTAACCATAATCTTAATGCATTAAAATCCGGGGATTCATTTCACCTGTAACTTTGGACATATAAATTATTCTAATTTTTCATATATTTGTTTTCCTTAAAAATGGCAAATTCATGTTCCTGTCATTAACATATCATTTCAACCTATTTTTTAGAAATATAAGCTAGCTTTGATTCTGCATTTCATTTCTTCCAGTGCACAAAAACTGCTGAATATTGTAATCACAAAGTATGGTCATATTTTGGAGATTCCTTTGCAAATATATAAAAGAAAATCCTTTTCTTCTGGAAAACATCTGTGACAACACACATTTATAATGTGCTGCCATCATGTGGATATTGACATTTTGTTACCATTAATATGTATTGTAGCTTCAGATATTAAGAGCAATCTTCTTTTGGTCAGCAGTGCGAGGTAATCCAGATAAGTTTAGACAAGAAGCACACCCAAGAGCACTAGCTCCATCTTTATTGTAAAGTTACATTAACAAAATCTTGCAAGTCTGAAACAAGATCTCTCCTCCCTCACCTTTGCAGTCTAAGATACTAGGGAGGACCCCTTCTGAGGTGTTGCCATACCCCATTGTTTCTGAGGGCTCATCTGCCTCTTATCTGACCATTGCCTAGTCTCTGTCTCTTCCTTCCCCCCCTCCCCCCGCCCCAGGAAAACATAAGAAGGAACAAACTGAATCTAATGATCCTGAAGTAAGATAAGACTATTTACAGTAAACATATTGGCTTTGTCATCTGCTATCTCCAACACTAAACTATGAACAATTAGATCATTTTTTCATTGCTGAACTATATAGCATGATGTAAAGCTCAAGATTGTCAGTCACTGTAATATTTATTAAATAATCCATACTTTCCTTGTCTTACCCATTTGGTTGGCAATCTTCCCTTCTGGGCACAGTGCACAGTCATAGCAGCAAGATAATTTCCCTTCTAGTTTTATCTTGTTATAGCCTAAGTGACATTTGTCATTACATATGGAAAGAGGTAATGCCTGTTAATAAAAAAATATATATTTAGAATTCTTTCACATTAATAAATGAGATTTGGGGGTTGTCCTCTTCTTTACCTATATGTACATTAAATGTATGCAAATAAAACACTGAGCAAGACATTTTCCAGATTTCTTTCGGTTTTAGATTCACCACTGAAACCTTTAACAGTTGTCTCACACATGTTATACCAAGACGTTTCATCAACAAATAGGACACATCCAGATTTAATTTGGTTTCCATGTAAGGATGAGTAAATGTGGACTTCATCTAGTGTCATATGTTGGAAATATATTTAAATGAAAGTTGTGATTGGATTTTGTGGGATTCTACTCTTACTAGAATTCTTTCTAGACTTAGTTCAACATGATGAAATTCACACAGAATCAGTGATGGTGTTGGTTGGCAAGCTCAGTATTTTGTGCAGTATTTGGAGGTCATCTTAGTTAGGTTTATCAAAGGTGAATATATCCTATATGGGTCATGCTACACTTAAACCTGGAAATATCAGAAACTACAGTCTGTGGTCTCTTCAGTATCATATGAGTGTGAGTGTGAACACTGCACCTCTCTGCTATTCATTAAAGCAACCTGACTTTTTTTTCAAGATGCATTTACCCTACTTAATATTCAGATTAACTGTAGTGAATGGATTCCTGAAGGCAAATACACTGGAGGACCTGTTCTTTGATCCAGTCTAATATCTGTATTGGTTATCACGCATGCAAAAATGTTCCATGCCACATAGTGTTTTGAGAAGCAATCTCCCTCAGACAATTTTATCCTGATCCCTTTTCAATGCAGCTCTAAAGATAACAACTTTTGTGAAATGCTTGCTCCATTCATCCATGTAAACATTGAAATACATTACTTTTAGAGCTCTGAAATGCTGTTTTCCAATTCTGCAATTTTTATTTTTTTTTAAAAAAAGTTTTATATAATAGCAGTTATCAAACATAGTAACATGAAATCAACAGATTAAATGCAGATTAAATAATAAGAAAAATGCTTAGGGTGGATTTGTCTTTACTAATGAAATATATTTACTAATAAAGTGTACAAATTGATGCAACATATAAATAATTGTTGGGTTGATAAATCTTTTCATACATTGTATTTCATGTGTTAATTTTTCCATAGATGCTATGAAATTCATATGCCATACTTTATTTGAAGTTTTGTGAAATGATGGAATTCATCTGAATTAGTGGCTGCTAATAACTGGGTATCTAAGATTTTTCACGACATAGTTGTTAAAATAGACTTGGAACAGAAAAAAAAAATCCTCTCTGGTGCAAATGATTTGCAGATTATACTGCTTATTACCACACTCACCTTTTTCCAAAATATATTCATTTTAGACATTCCGACCACACTTAAAAAT